CTCTGTACTGCCGCCAATGCGCACCATCCATAGGAACTTGTTTATGTCTGAATAAAATAAAGATTAATTTTTAGTAATGCATACTGTAATACTGTCACGACTAACCCGAACATTTGGCTTTTAATCAACAATTATAGTAATTTAATAATCAAGAATTTACCATCTGATGAGTAGCCGGTAAGCCCACCAAAAATTACAAGAACATAGTTGACATCTAATTCTCTCATAATTTCATAAGCCTTTTCCTCGGAACTTGCCATCGCTTGCCCGACTCTTGATATGTGCGTATTATTCCAGGTGTTATTATCCACTAAAATAGTACGATTTGCCATTGCAGTTATCTGGTATCCGTAATCCCACCAAGACATTACTTTAGCATTCTGAAAAATAAATAAAATATAGAAGTTTTCTTGGTATTTTGTAAAACGTTTTGTTTTTCTTCTAACTCTGGCTATCACAAATTACAATTTTTAAAATTTTCAAACTGCTATACTATTAAATATTTATAAATTATTTGTACTTTATTAAACATTTGAATTTCTAATTTTAATCCAAATATTTAATTATTCGTGTTTAAAATAATATAATAGTGGCTAAAATAATTAAAAATGGCTAAAAACACTTACTTCGGGCGTGTTCATACGTAACCAATAATATGCTTCTCTGAAATCATCAAAAATCATACGACCACCGTCAGGTGACCGCGCAGACAATACAATGCTTGGTGAGCTATAAGCTTCTGCTGTGACCCATGTGCAATGAATAGTATAAGAGAAGAAGAGTATACACATTACTATGACGAAAAATGTGGCAATCTGAAAAAATATAAGACGTTCTTAGTATAATATTGTATTTAAATATTTTTTTAAGGATACTTTTATAAAATATTTGAAGTTTTGACAACTTACCTCACTTCTCAAAACATAATTATTTTCGAATTTTTTAGCTTTCTTATCAACAACTTTTCCACTTTCAACTTGCTTCATGTAAGTAACTAATAAAGAAGATGCTCCAATTCCACCCAAAATACACATAACTGGAGCAAGTACTAACATTAAACGTACCATTACTCCCTAAAATATTAAATAGACATTATTTACGCAGAAAAGTGTATATGTAAAATGAGTAAATGTATAAAAACTACTAGATTGCATAGTAAAGAAATATTTTATGATGTATATATTTATGGCTCAATTACAAGAATGATAGCCACTTTTTGGTCAAAGTAAAATGCACTGCACAACAAACTGACAAATGTATTTTTTCATAGGAGAATTAAAAGCTTATCCAGAAAAATAAAACTTAAATCATGATCACTTTATTTTGAGCCATGAAATTCTCCTACGAGAGATCGTACTTATGCGAGCGTATTATGCAGTGCATCTTGTTTTGACTAAAAGTGAAATTGATTGTTCTTGCATTAAGTCAGAGATATATATCTATACTTTGTATACAATCTTATATTTACTTACTGCAAAATACAAACTGGTAACTCCATATAAAATTAAGAAAATGTTAGAATCTGTTAACTTAGAAAAGCAGAAATATAAGCCTGATGGGAACAAAAATACAAGTATCTGCAGATCAAAGTAGAAGGAACTCCATGATGTTGGCTGATGTTCCGAAACTGAAGCAATTATTGGAATATGATTTTTTGCGTAAGATGGATCAAGCAGAGAGTAAAAACGCCCAGTCCATGGTGATATTTTTCCTTAAAAAATTAAATAAAGCATACAAAAATCTATATAATAAATAAAATTATATGTACGCGTGATATATTATTAAATAATAGTACATTATGGAATCCATACCTGTAATAGTTAAAATACCACCAACTATGCATGATGTAGTAACCACTACAATAAGCAGAGCACGGAATAATATTTCAAATTCCTTTTGGGACAATTTGCTTCGTAAATAATCTACTAATGCATGTATTTGACACAAACCGAAAACGCCTAATGCCTGTAAGAAAGAAATAAAAATGTCTAAAGTTCTAGCTTAAATACAAATGCAAAAATATTTTTACATTTTAATAATTACATTAAGTGCATTAAAGATATTACAACACTTACAAGCATATGTTCCGAACTTTGCACGGGTTGAAAACCAACAAACGATATCTGCATAGATAAAATTGTGCCTAAACAGTATAAAATGCTGTATGCAATATATATCCTATGGGAAAATCTGCCAGTCACCATCAAGGTCAGCACGTGTAACGGGATCAGATTAATTAAAAAGACATATCCGCCCCATGAAGACACCATATAGAAATATGCCAGTGCAGCGCAAGTAGCCCAGCATATAGCTCCTGTTTTCACAGCTTTGATCCACATATAGTATGTAAATAACATGCAAAAAATTGCTATGCCTTCATTGTCATAAGATCCTGCAACTGATCGGGATATATAACCAGGTACAATTGCAATCATTGCAGCTGCAAATAGGCCTGATGCGGAGTCCTAGAAAATTAATTAAACAAGATGAAATGTCATTGGCTGTTTCTAAGAGTTAATAATTGTACTGTAATCAATCAAAATATAAACTATACCTTTAATTCTTTGGTAAGCAGATAAGTGATAATTGTTGTTAAACTTGAAAATAATGGAGCAAGGAAGACACAAATATTGCGTATGTCTAATGTGATATTCAGTAACCATGAGAGATGATATAATGCTGCTGAAGTTATCATTAGACCAGGATATATAGTTCCTACAAAGTTTGTTTTTTTTCTTTAAGCATCTTTTTTTCTGAGAAATACCATTCTTAAATGTTTTAATATACAATCAGTACCTCCTATTATCCTGCCAAGTGGATACCAAACACGGTCATCAAACCAATTATGAAAACTGTAGAATCCATTTTCAGCTAAGTATTTTGTTGTGCGATAATTGAAGTATGGATCAAATTCATGAATAACACTCTCAAATCTTAGTACTGAGAATAAACGTGTAGCAAATGCTGTAAAAAAATTTATATATATAAGTTGATTATCTAAACAAAAACTAAAGTACAAAGATAATAAACTTACATAAAATTGCTGCTAAAGATAGCACAGTTAATTTCAAAAGTGTTTCTTGCTTCTGCGCAGACATACGCAGACCTCTTGCTTTTACTAACGACACCATGTTGGTGGAGAAAAATGTACAATACTGTTAAATGAAATCAATCCTGATTCTTATATCATCAACCTATAAATAAATTTTGTTTAATTTTAACATTGTGCGTGCATTATCATTATTTAAAAATATTTTGCATAACATAAAGTATAAATGTCTGAGTAAATATCGTCACTAGAGAACAATAACAAGTAGTTTCATATATATAATTTGTATGCAAGCTAAGCACATGTCCGTTATTGTTAAAGGTTAAAATTTCATATGCAAACATGCATATGATAAAATTAAAGCAACGAAAGTACTATTTTAAAATAAATACACGCGTTATCTATATAACTTTCATGTGTTGAACGCATTTTTAAAAATGCATGCCTTTTCAAACAACGCTAAGTAAACCCAATATTGACCACGTACACAAAATTACCGGCCGGTGACATATGTATATATCGATTCGCATATTTTACACTTCGGTATCGTATATGCGTTTACGTGATGCGTTAACAACTTCCAAAAATTTCAGAAAAACTTACAAAGTTATTTTACACAAATGTGAGAACACAACGTGGCCATTTAAATTATTAACTAACAAATGTCACACAATTCCAAAAGAAAAACCATAGATTATGAACCGTACGATGGTTTGTTCAGAAGATGACTGCCTTGCATAAAATTCTTTTAGTGCGTTTGTTTAATTATATATACGCCTTATCGTTCATTGGTCACCTCAGATTATTGACCATTTTCATTGCAGCAGAAGTAAAAGCGAACTTATGTTGTCTCATCTACTTTGCCGATACTCGATGCTTTAATTGATTTGTGACATCTATGACTCGTTCAGATTTGTTCCCGCCAGAAAACCGGTGTTGACCGGTATTTATGTTTCACAAAATTTAGATTTGTACGGCTGCATTGTATATCTAATTATAGTGCTTTGTTTATTATAATTTATTTTTATATAACGTCGTTCTTAACGTGAAAAGATGTCCGAAGGTAATTGATATCCAACCATACGACATATCACGCGGCGGACTTAACCTATGATTTCTTAAAAAAATAATCGTTTATACAAATGTCTGAATAAAGTTTCTCAAATTATATAGTAATGATATAGTAATAATAAAATGCATGTAATTGAGAATTAAGAAACTTTATATTTTTTATTAATTGAGATAATTTCACATATATTTTCTGAGCTTTATGTATTGTTTGAACGATATGCATTTTTTTTACTTTTGTAGTAATAAACGATATATTGAAACGTTTATATATTATTTTATAATTTATATTAAAAATTTTAATATTTGCATTTATTTTAATACTTTTATTTATAAGTAATTTTAAAAGCTTTAAAAACTATCTTTGTATGCAGATAAAACAACAGAAGATATGTGGACTCCATATAAAGAACTTCAAAGTCTTGTTGAGAAATATTTAATATCAGTTCCTGATATTCAAGACCCACAGTATCATGAATTAACAGAAGCATTGAGAAATCATAGACAAAATTTTCTTACCATCTTAAAGAATCCAGTAAGTAATGTATGCTTATATATAATATAATAATACAAAATTAATATTTTTATTAGATTATAATAATATACAACACATACATACTATATAATTCAAATTATAATTTATTCCAGTATATAGAAATATATTAATATTGTATTTTTTTATGTATTATAGCCAAAAAATATGAAGAGTCGTGAAGAAATTGAGAAAGGAGTCACAGATGGTATAACACTACCTGGTTTGGGTCATCAAATATTATCAAAGGAATTAGTTGATGAGACTTTTATCATATCAAATATGTATGACTTGAATGAGTTTATGGCATTGGATCTTCTCTGTACTGCTCAACTTCAAATGCCACATCATCCTGGATTAACACGTGGTTTAACAGCTATTCTTCTGTATTACGATGGAAGGAAAGCACTGACATCAGTATTAAGGACTTTGGTGCATACTCGCATTGGTCATAGTTGGGCAGTAGATGCACCAGTTGCGCTCACAAGACATATTACAGACTATACGAATAAGTTGCAAGAAGATGGCCTATTGAATAGAATTTTGTCTTTATTAGAAGAAATGGATCCTACTAAGGTATTACATAGAAAAAGAATAATAAGAATAAAAATGCTGTATAAGATTTTTTCATAAAGAACTGAATAGAATTAATAATTTTTAAAAAAGTAATTTATATTTTCTTTTCAACTTCTCTTTGTAGATTTTGTAAATATTTGGATCAAAATGCATTAATTTCTGCAAAATTTTATACAGGAACAAGATCTACTGCAACAAAATAGAGCTTTAGGTGGAGCAAAACATCATCAAATGGTTATGAAATTATACAATGACACACGACAAGATTTAGCTGATATTTTGTACTTATGGTCTGCTCAATCGTCTCTACCGAACACAATTCTATTTCGTCTACTATCTATACTGCAAACTCGCCAAGTTGAATCTGAAGCAGGCGAAGGAGGACCTGACAAAGTTACACTTGCACTCATTATGGCTGTTTTGAATGCCCTGAACTTCAGCTTTTTACACAGTCGTGAAAACGGCGAAGGTACAGCATAGTGTTTTATTATTAGCATCTCAATATGCAATTGTTACATTAATTATTTTAATATTTCTTTCAGAATTAATTAGTTCAATGCCGCTAATAACAGAGAGGGAAACTTTGGAAGAATTGAATCAAAAATTAATATCGACCAATATAAATTGGGAAAGTGCTGGATTGCGAGGAGTAATACAGTTTGTTTTGGCAATAGCTGTGATTACAATTAAAACAACTAGCACTCAGTACCAGACACAGAACATCACTACAGAAGATGAAATACTGATAGAAGCAGCCTTAGCTAACAAAGCTTTTCATTTTATGGCTGAGGTTTTGTTCAAGAGTAGTTGCATTTATCAAGAAGAATTTTACGTTCGCTATTTTCACACGCTTATCTCCGATTTCATATTATTAATGCCAGTCAAAGTCAAAGAGTTGCGCAGTCGCGCCGATGAATCCATGCGTTTGATCCAAGCGTTTCAGCAAGAAGGCATCGAACCTCCGATGAATCTAGATAATCACTTTGAATATTTGATGCTGATGGTGGCGGAACTGTATAAGAAAGATCCGTTAAAATTAAATTTAGCTATGGATTATTGGTGCCATCATACTGATACAACTCATGTATCAGCTCCTGCGTACATCAGCCGTTTGCCCTCTAGACAAGTTGCCCTGTTTAAATTTGTGCGACTCGCCGGAGAGATATTGCCAGCAGGTATATTTGTTCCGTATATGAAGATGATTGCATCTCTCGCCTCATCGCCACAAGCTGCTAGACACGCGTTCAACTTTTTTAAACCCAATGGTAAGTTCATTATCCAAACAAACTGTTTATAAATTAACATTTCTTTCGCAGTGAAGTTATATATGATAAATATGTCTGTTGTACAGGATCAACCGGTTCAGCAACGATTTCATGGGATCATTTCTTCAATTCCTTAAGCCGATATTATTACAATTTAAGACAAGAATTACCTCCTAGTCAAGATACAGTGTATAGGCAAAGATGTCATCCAAAGGGAATCATGCCTCAGGAGGTCAAGGGTCTGGAAGCAGTATTATTGGTCGTCCAAGTGATAGCCAGGAACGATGAAATGTCAAGAGTTGCAATATGCGATCATCCGAGCTGGAAAGTTTTGCCGTCTTTGATCGGCTTGGTCAGCTGCGCAATGCCGATACCGCTGAAGGGTGTGCTAGTGAGAACTCTCGCGGCGCTGGCCAAATCTCCCGAAAGTTCTTCCACTGTTTGGCAGAGTTTGGAGGCGGCGCAAATCCTCTCCACTATACCAACAACGAGCAGTTATCAGCCGAGAGGCGTGCAAACGGAACTGGAAGAGATCGAATCCAGGAACGAGGAGTATCCGTTGACACGCGCCGTGTTAGAACTATTAGATGTGCTCACGAATTTCCCAATACCACGCCTGTTGGGCGTGGGCCAGCGAAATCCAGGATTCGATCCGTATTTACACTTCATCATTAATACCGTCTTTCTGAGATTCCACACTCGCTCGTATAAAAATCCCGCCGAGAAGTGGGAGGTAGCGGAAGCGTGCTTGAAGATATTCTCGAAGTTGATAAAGCAGTACGAGCCAAACGTCGAAGATTTCGTGGGCTGTAAAGTTGAGTTGCAAGGCGGCGATTCTACTTTGGTCAATTCGGCCCCGGGATATCATCTGATGACTCAATTGCACACCGCTTCCGAGTTATTGAGTGTAATATTGTTGATCCTGGACGAAGGTTGTAAACACTTCGATACCTACGTCAGTTTTCCGGGAAAGGACTATCTGGAGAGCTGCAGTCTTCATTGCTTGGAGATATTGGAGCGTGGATTGAAAATGCAAAACAATTACATGATGCAGTTGACCGCCATACCAACCGTGAATAAAATTACGACCGGATTGTCGCGTCTGCTGCTCGGAGTAAATCCTCGCACGGGCAAACCCGATCACATGATTAACATCGTGAAATACGTATCCTACAACTCGTGGCTGCCGAAGCAGGCTTTTGTGGCTGTTAGCGTTATTCACAGCGTGACTAACGAACCCGGAGCAGATTCCGAGTTGTTGTCAACGTTCACGGCGACTTCCACTTTGACGACGAATATCAGACATGGCTTTGTCGAGTGCCTAGACGCGGATAATATCTCGGAGGATGACGACGAGGCAGCTGGCGAGCAGGGCAGGCAACAAATCGGAAATTGCAAAGAAAGAATTCTGCTCTTCATGATGCACAGTATTACGCGACCCGCGCCCAATCTCGCGCATTATTTACTTGGCTTTGAGATAACTAAAGACATCAGGAAGACTGTGATCCAGCAACCGGGAATCCTGGGATTCCCACGCACTTGTCTGCACTCCATCTTGGGCATTTTAGAGCAATCTCTCGACCGCGGTCGCGACAAGATAACCGAAGCCTGCTACTGCTATCTTCACACACTGGCAGCTAATAGCAAAACGTCGACACCTGTTCTCAGATTTCTACGTACCACGAGCAATCAGGATTTCGTGCAGAGGCATCTCTCAAAATTACCATTTCAAGGACCAAACAGATCGACCGAGCTCGGCTGTATGTCTTGGTTACTGAAAATAGCAGCTATCGAGTTGCGAGTCGCTGGAGGTAGTCTACAGACGTCCCTGATTCAACGACTGGTGGGAAATTTCAATCAGGACAAAGACCAGATTGCACCGTCGCAGAAGCTTCTCATGGATCTCTTGCATTACATCGACTTCCAGTTGTACCTGGAGCCTGCAAAGTCTTGGGAATTCTTTGATCCGTCGCAGATTGAAATGGTTTTGGGCAAGTGCAGCACTCCAGTCGCGTTAATGGGCGGTCCACGGCTCATTGACATTAGAAAACTGCATTCTCTCATCACCGAGGAACTGACAGTCACGCAGAGCAGCGCAACCGCCACCCAACGCAAGCTCATGCAGCAAGAAGTAAAATCTATACTTGCACACGCATTGAAGAAGAATCAGACCAAGGTTCTGTCTTACGCGACCGTTAAATTCGTGGAGGGCTGGTGCCAAACTACGGAGATACTTTTCTCCGTCGCGACCAATCAACAACTACCAGCGGCTCAAAGGCAAAATCTCCTGTTGAACTTGTCCCACGACTTGCTGCAGAAGATGACATCTTGCGAAGCCCTGAGCGAGATCAAGACGCTAGTATCCGGCACTGTCTTAATGCTGTTGGTGAACTTGCGAAACAGTTTCGTGATTCAGTCGGACGAGTTGATGCCGTCGTCGCCGTCAAACACAACGATGATGAAGATTATTCTAAGTCACATTTTACAATGGATCATAAGCGCCGGCGCTTCCTCGCAGAAAGTCGTGACGCATCTTTACGCGGCCTTGTTGAACTTCTTGAGTATCGTCGGCTTGGAAAAGTCCGAGTACATAAGCGCGATCGACTCAATGTACATCAGCCAACTGGACAGTTCGCTGAACAGGCTCATGCCTGTGCAGGAACGCTCGCAACGTTACGCGACGATTCAAGTCATCAACAGCTTCGGAAATCAGCTGATGGATATTTTGTGCCACAATTGCTCAGGTGGACACGATGTGTGCAAAATGCTTGCGTTGTCCTGCCTAGACAAGATCTTGGAATTGGATTGCGAAAATGCGTGGATGATCTACTTGGCGAGTAGAGGCTACTTGAAGCATATGATAGACAGCCTATTGGAATCCGACAATCTGTTGCGGTGTATGCTGCAACCGGAACCGCAGACGCTGCGACCTTTGTACCTGTATGAGGCGAAGATGGCAATTTTCTGCAGAATGGCATCGACGAGACTGGGTGCCGAGAGTCTCTTGGAGAATAAGATTTTATCTTGCATGTCAAGTATGTGCGTGTTCGATCAACATCCTGACGTGCACATCGGTTTCGAAGGTGGCGACTACTCGTTTATACCGTCGGTGGGACAACGCTATCAACAAATTTTCTTGCCAGCTTTATACCTCTGCGACGCTCTCTTCACCACGCTGGGAACGGAAAATCAATCCTGTGCCGTGCAAGTCTGCGGATTTCTACAAAGTCACAGAGATACCGTAGAAATGGCTCTAAGAAATGCATTCTCGCACGCTAATGTGCTTTTCTTGAAGGAGATTGCATGTCTCACCGGTGTTATATCCAGATCCGCTAATATAGGTTTGTATTGCAAAGCGCATAGACTATTCATATATTAGTTACATTATAATTATATTATAGTATGAATATTATTTTGCAGATATGTACAAACTCGTGGATGAGGAATTGGCGAAGACAAATATTGATGATTATAAATTGGAGAATAGTACTGGAATGAGGGAATTGCGAGCTCATTTGTACCGGCTGCAAAAATTGATGCTGTCGTTGTTGCACAAATTCCAATTGCAATCGATTCCGATGAATCATAATTACCAGCAGGCTGAAGCAAACCAACAATATCTTGCTTGTATACAGATAGTCGCCAACATCATGTTATATACACGTAATCAAGTAAGGTTTTATAGTATATTATATAACATGATTCTATTATGTAATACAAAGTGATGGGCTAGAAATACCTAAAAATTTGCTTAAAATTGTTATCTATTGAAGTTTCTAATGTCACGTTGTACATTTCGTATCGTCATTTCAGATGCAACATAGCCGTATGGATCAGAAAATACGAAATGTATTATTCGATCCTCATTTAACGCTGAAACCTGGAGGACGGCAAGACAAAATAAAAGATATCTCTGGTGGAGTGCATTTGGGCACAATAGTCGAACAATTAGTTTCTGTAACAAATTTGCTACACACTGAATTACCTCACCTCGACTCCTTAATAAAGAAAACGCAAGTGGTAGCCGACATGAGCACAGCGGAATTAAAGAAAGTTAGTATCAATAAAACTTTCAATAAAATTTGCTCATATATACATATACACAATATCATAGAAATTTAACACGATTGATCTTATTTTCAGTATATGTCTGATAACGAGGTGGAACTCGATATAGGAAAGCAACGACTGCTTGTCGAACAACGATTGAATCGTTGGGTAAAGGATAAGCGACAAAGCATAAAATATTGCTCTCTTATAATAGAGCATACTTTATATATTCTTTGGAGTCATATAGACTTTTACACTATGCAAGTGATATCACGGCAAACCCAAAGAATGCACGGTTAGAATATTTAATTTTTAATCAATAATGGATGTGTGTTTACGCGTTTATAATGCGTAAATAACTTTTATTCGTTTAACTATTTAAAATCATATGTTTGTTTATAGTGTCTTCAAGTGGCATCGACGACAGTATGATAGAGTGGAAGGTCTCGTCAGAAACATTAATGGAATTAAAACAAGGACTTGTTTCTACATTTACAGATGCTTTTATTACACAATTACTGGACACAACACATAGCGAATATGCAACAGTAGATCGTAGCTTTATCGAAGCTCTTATAAGACGAATTAAAAGACTATTACAGTTTATAATTATTAAGTAATGAAGATTAATTGTAACAATTGTAATCACGTACATAGTTTCAATTTTTAAATGCGGATCCCATTTTATCTTAAAATTGAAACTATATATATGAAATTATTCACTTTCTTTTTTTTTGCATTATTTGTAAAACATTTGTTAATAGATTTATTTTAGATTAATATGCTTCCATGTGTGTTCTCTTTTTCTATTTGACATATATAATATGCAATAAAATATATTCTTGTAAAATATATATAATTACATGGGTCATATAAATTTTTATTTAAAAATATACAAATAGTACCTTTATTTCGAAATCTATAAATTAATTTACATACGTAATATATGTTAGTATATATAAATTAGATATGTATAAATATATACATATGCAAACATGATAAATAAAAATTGGTAGATTTACAAGTACAGTTTCATATGTATATGTATATATGTATTTCTATATAAATTATGATTAATAATTGTGATGAAAATCAATTCTATCCATTTTAAGAAGCAATTATTGCTTCATCCCAAGGACCATAAATGTTATCTTTATATTTTTGGCATCTGATATACCAAAGTGGACAAATAAAATGAATAAATATTATAGCAATAATAAAAACGTACGAAAATGTTTGTGAAATAAATAAAAGTAAATATATAATACCAATTGGCAGAACGGTTGATATAACAATTTTGTTATTCATTCCTGTCAGTAAATATGGTAATAGTACAAAACATTGAACTGAAACTGTTAAAAGTGAAAAAGCATGTAATGGCGATGCTAATCTAGAAGCCAACATTAATGATCCAAAAATTGAAGAAGTTATGGACAAAGAATCTGATAAAGAGATCTGTGATGATCCATATTTGCTAAATATTAAATGAGTCAAGAACATGAATATTGTCATAGCATAAATTGTATCTGTACTGATTGTTTCTGTCAAAGTTTTTAAGATAGGCGATAATATATAACCAAATGTAAGAAATATTAATACTATCCACAAATCTCTTATTAATTTTACAGGCCGATCAAGTACTTTTATATTATAAATAAAATATCCAAGAATTGTTAGCATACCTCCTGCTATTACAATAACATTAGGTGTAATCCACTCGTTATTTAACCAAATAAATATGATGACAAAAAATATCACAATGCTTAATTGTATAGATATACTAGCGCCCAAATTTATAGCTTCTACCAATGTCACATTATTTGGTTTTATATTTTTACGTAGTTGTTTTAAGAAGGAACTATCTGTGTAATTGTCCGGCAAGCCATAATTTTCGTATAAATTTTTTCGCCATCGTGTTTCTTTCATATTGTTAGTTTCTGGATTTTCGATAGAAATGCTAGAATTTCTCATAACTTCTGTTTCTATAAAAAGTCTTAAATAAATCTATAAACTATATACGCCTCAAGTAG